ATTTTGGGGGTGTTTTAAATGAATGTAAGGAGCCTTTTAACCAAGTGAGAGAGTAATTTTTTAAAGGGGGCTTTTAAAAGCAAAGTAGGGAAAAAAAACTTTTAGAAAAAGGGGGGTGGGGAGGTAAATTTTGGGGGTGCCCGGTGTTAAAAAAAAAATGGGAAAGCCCTTTTATTGAACCCTTTTTTATAAAAAAAGGGGGGTTTTTGTTTAGGTAATACATATTTTTAAGGGGAAAAAAGGATTTAAATAAGAATACACGTATGATGTAGGGCGAAATGACAAATTTTTGTTGGATTATGTTTGGTAGAAAAAAACCCTGTTGAGTAGACTTCAGGAGTACTTTTTTTTAAGGGGGGGGCCCACAGATATATCAGACACTTTCTAGTTGGCTATACTGAATAAAAGGTAGAGGATAAAAGGGAAAAAAGCACAAAGAGAAGGTGAAGGGTTTATAAACTAAAAGAGGAGGCATTGGGGTAAGATAAAACACTTTGGGGAAGAGGGGCAATGAGAGCATAGGCAAGGGGGTCGAAGGGTATGGGGTAGGTTTAAAAATGTATTTTAAAGGTTTTTCAGAAAAGAATTTTGTGGTTAAGAAAGTGGGGCAGGAGGAAAAGGGGAGCGATTGGTGGAATGATGATGAAAAGAGAGATAAGGGAGAAAAAGTTAGCATTAGAATTTTTTTTAAACAAAGTAGAAGTGAGAAAGGAGGGAAGATATATGGAGAAAAAGAGGAATTTAAGAGAGGGGTAAAGCAAAAAAAAAGAGAGAAAAGGGGAAAGAGGGGGTGAGATGTTATCAAAAAATTTTGTTGAAATAAAAAAAGTTTTGAAGTGAGATTAACAATTTAAAAGGAAAACCCTAGAGAACAAATGGATTTGTCAGTTAAAAATAGAGAGGGAGTTATTAAATGGAGAGTTAGGTTTGGGGGAAAGAGGGGAAGGAATATTTTGGGGAATTGAAAATGTTTGATGAAGAAGGGAAGCGTGTTTTCGTGAAAGGGAAAGAGGAATAACATCTTGTAGGATTGAGGAAGAGCCATTGTAGTGTGGGGGAAGTTTGTGAGGCAAGGTAAAATGAAAGGGGGTAGGCACCGGGGGATTGATGGGAAAAAATAAAATGTTAAAAGCAGGTGGGGAATAGTTTTGGAGTGGTTGGTGCAATTATTTAAAAATTAGGGAAAGGGGGTAAGGTACCTGGGGATTGGCAAGAGCATGCATAGTTCCTTTGTTAAAGGAAAAGGGGAAAAAAAGAGATGCAAAAATTATGGGGGGATAAGCGTTGAGTGTACCTGGTAAGGATGGAGAGTTAAAAATTGAAAGAATTAAATAAACGGAGAAAGGATAGCAGAGAACAAGGAGGTTTAGGAAAGGTAGGGGGTGTGTGGACCAGGTGTTTACAGTGAAACATATAATGAACAGTATTTAGTAAGGCTAAAGAGGTCTTTTGGTTTTTATTTTTGGAAAAGGCGATACGGGTGGATGGGGGGCAATTCAGATGTTCCAAGTTATGGGTAGGAGGGGGTTAACTAAAGCAGTGAAGGAGTTTTTACGGGGGATTTAAACAAGTTGGGTTTGTAGGAAAGAGGAAATTTTTCCCAGTAAAAGTGGGCCCTTTTAACAAGATGGTGATTTCACCGTGGTTGTTTAATTATTTTATAGTGGGGTTGTAAGAAAATAAATGCGGGGTTTTTTGGCAAGGGGCGTGGAGTTAAAAGATAAAAAATCACACACAAAGGGGAGTTGTCCAGCGTCTTTGCTGAGACACTGTCTCTTGGGAGATTCGAAAGAAGTTGCAGAGATTGTGAAATTTGGGTTTTAGGGTGTGCAAAAAAGAAAAAAAAAGGTAAACAGGAAAAGAAGGTTATGAGGATAACAAAAAAGATTAGGGGATGAAAAATTGAATACGATTAGGGAGAGAGTATGGGGGAGGTGAACGTATTCAATTTTTGGGGTGGCGTGTAGGGAGGGCTATGAAAGATGAGGTGAATCATAGAATTTGATGAGGGGAAAAAGAGGAGTGGTGCCTTAGGTCTGTGGAAAAAAAAAGAACTTTGTCCTTGGGGGCAAAGGGGGGAAGAATTGGGGTATATTTTTTCCCAAACGCCTTATATGGGTGTAAAGCGGGGGTGTGAATTTTTCAGCGGGGAGAAGGCTGGGGGGCAGTGGAGATGTTTTTCTGAGGCAATGTGGGGTGTGAATATAATCCAGAAATCGTATTTTGGAAAATTAGGAGGAGGTGGGGATTCCCAAAAACTGTTGCCAGGGGGGCTGAGGAAGGGTTTTTGAGGTGGTTCGGACATGTGAGAGAATGGACGAAACAGAATGACTTCAAGATGTATCATCTGTATGGAAGGAAGGCGGTGGGGTCGGGCCCAGGGAAAGGGTTTTAGGGGAGGGGGTAAAGGGGGTTTGTGTCGAGGGGCTTGGACTTCCACAGGCATCTGACGGGTTTGATAGGAGGAAAAGGGACAAATGGTTTTTAATATTTTACGTTTCTGTTGGGTTGAGCAAAGTAAATTTATGAAGGGATTCAGGAAAAAACCCGGAGGCCGGGACTTGAGTCCTGGAGAGGGGGTACATGCCCCGCACTCTGAAGAGGGGTTTAATGTTGCATTTTAAAAACTGTAGTGTAAAGCACCCTTTTGGCAAGACGGATGGAGTGAATAGTGAAAGTTTTCTTTTTCGGCCACCCGCCTTTGGGGGGAAAACGGCCGGGGGTTAAATAAAAAAAAAAAAAAAATTTTAAAAAAAAGGTTAAGGGGGTTATGGCCAGACAGAATTTAACAGTTTTCTCTAACATGGATGCTGGGACCCAGAAAAAACAAAGTTTCCCCCCCACCCGCCCTTTCCACTTGATGCATATAAACATTACGTGTTTTGGCTATTAGTAAAGTGTCTCTTATAAATTTTAAGAAAATATCATAGAGGATTTAAGAAAATGTCTATTTTTTCCAGATGAGACTTTAGTGTGCCCAAGATGATTTAAATTTTTTAAAAATACATTGCAATTTAAAAATTGCTTTTTTATATGCATGTAGTAACATGTTTCTTATATAATTTTGAAGAAAAAATAATATGGTTTAATGAAAATGTCTCTATTAACCTAAAACTTTAATGTGCCCCAAAAGTGATTTAAATACGAAATCCGGGGGGGCCACTGTACTGCATTTTGAAATTTTTGTGAGTTAATTTACCTCTGTTGTTTCATGTACCTGGTCGTACTCGAGCACTTTTTTGCCGATGTTTTTAAATTTATTTAAATTTTTAATGGCAAAATCAGCAGGGATGAAGCTTTTTATTGTACATATAGTTTGGAAAAAAATAAGAAAATAATAAAATAAATAAATTATAATGAAAATTGTATGAATAATAATGAAATAATATCAATATAAATAATAATTATACCAAATAATAACACATAGTAAGAATAAGAATACTTTTGTACACAGGTTAAACAACAGTAAGAATCATTTCCTTTGTCAACAAGTTCCATGTCTTTCATTTTATAGGTAATATTTAAAAGAAATTGTATATATATAATAAAAAAAGGAATTGGTAATAAGTCTCTTGATTCAAGGAATTGGTTCCACCTTCCCTTCCCCTTATAGTAATGTACATTCCCTGCCTCTTACAGTAATACACATTCCCTGTCACTTATAGTAATACACATTCCCTGTCACTTATAGTAATACACATTCCCTGCCTCTTACAGTAATACACATCAGAAAGTAGTTTAACTTAAGATAAAGTCCACTTTTCAGTTTGTTCTGCTTATGGTAAATCTGTAGTAAATACTGTTTCAAGAGGGCTTACTTGGCATGACAGTTTTGAGTGTTAATGCTCTTTGCTTTTATTGTTGTATGTATCTTTGTTTTTATTGTGCATGTGTACTGTACAGTGTGTGTGTGTATTGTACAGTGTGTGTGTACTGTACAGTGTGTGTGTACTCTACAGTGGCTGTGAGTGCTCGGTGACCTATGCGGTCAGAGTGCTGTGTAAATATCGCAACTACTTCTGTAGGGAGCAGAATTCTTGTTTAAATTGCATTACAGCCTCTCCTCACTTAACGACGGAGTTACGTTCCTAAGACCACGTCGGTCAGTGAATTCGTTGCTAAGTGGGGAGCATACTATAATGGTAGTGGGTTTGTGTCAGTCATCCCTGATATTATTTAAATGTCACCTTTGCATCATTTATAATAGCATTTCTGGTATATTTTTAAATGTTATACCTGAGTGTACTGTATATTGTAATAAACAGAATAAAGGAAGTCATCTCTAATATGTATTATTTAGGTATGCATACTGGTCAGAGAGCACATCATAAGTCCAAGGCATCAGTAAACGAGTACATCGCTAAGTGAGGAGAAGCTGTATTTTAATGTAGCTTGTACCAAACGTTAAATAATTTCTCCAGTTGTGAGAGTTATGGTTTAACTTATTTTGTCAATACAGCCTCTCCTCACTTATCGATGTACTCGTTTACCAATGCCTCGGACTTATGACGGGCTCTCTGACCAGTATTTATACCTAAATTATGTCTGTTAGAGCTTATTTCCTCTGTTCTGTGTATTTCAATATACAGTACATTACTGTACAAACATTTAAAAATATACCAAAACTGTTATAAATGGTGCAAAAGTGACATTAAAACAATATCAAAGATGGTTGACAAAAACCCACTACCATTATAGTATGCTCCTCACTTAGTGACAAATTTTTTTAATGACATGGTCTTAGGAATGGAACGCCATCGTTAAGTGGGGAGAGGCTGTATACCAACACTTTACTGGACCCATACAAAGAAGCTAAGTAGAGATGAAGTGGATCATATTAGTATGTGTGTCACATTTTTGTGTTCACTTTGAAATTTATAAACAGTTTTTGGGCTTGAATGGCTTAGAAAATAAACTTCACATGTTACCTATAGGCTGGAGCATCTCTGACACATTTAGTAGTATTACAATTTTGTATAATATTCTATATTTTTTTGCAGTTGTACTCATAGCTGGCTGCATTTGGCTGTGTTATGCCGGTCACCGTGCCTACAAGAGGTATTCTAACTCTGAGGGGCGGGTCATCAGCACTGCACAGACAGTCGTTGCTCCACCTGGCTCGTACCCTGTGGTATCCTCTGTGGCATGTCAGTATCCACCTGGCACACAGATCACCACTTATACCACTTCAGGTGGCCCACCAGCTGGCTATGCTGTTAGTGGCCAAATGGCTCCCTACCCTTCGCAGGGACAATACCCATCCCCAGTTCCAGGACAGCCAAGTCCATACCCAGTGGCAGCAGGACAGAGTCCATATCCATCACACATTCCAGGACAACCAGGTCCTCCATACCAGACACCAGCAGCTGGACATCCAGGACCGTTCCCAACACCGGCGACAGGACATCCTGGACCATACCCACCTCCAGTAGGCCCATATCAGCCACCACCTGCTGAACCATACCCAACTCCCTATCCAGGAATGCAGCCGGCACCCCCCTACCAGAGCCAGTTTGCACCAGAGGCGCCAGGACTGCCTGAAAAAACTGGATTACCCGGGGAAATGGCACCAGTCGACCCCTATGAGAAACCACCACCATATGCTCCATAAATCTTCCATGACATGGCCCTCAAGGAGAATGTGCTTTCGTGACTAAGTGGTGCTTTATCCTCTGTCATTATATGAAATGGTTTTATTTAGGTATTCTCTAGTGCTTTTTATCTCCATAGATATGTATCAAGGGATGGTCAGGTATTTTATTATTTGTTCTTGTAGAAATGTCGAATGTATGAGCCTTTTTTCTTGTGTTTACACAAATGTATGAGTCTGTATTTTGTTGAAACTACATGAATATATTAAGTCATTATTCAGTGGTGACTACATGAACATATGAACCTGTGCACTCTTATGAATATACGAACATATGCATCTGTACTCTGTTGTGACTACATGAGTGTTGAACCTATTCTCTGTTGTGACTGCATGAATGCATGAGGCTGTACCTTGTTAAGACTGCACGAATGTATGAGTATGACTACACGAATGTATCCTCTTGACTTTGTTGTGACAACATGAATGTTTGAGCCTGTACTCTGTAATGACTGCATTAGTATACAAGCCTGTATTCTGTTGTGACTATGCGAATGTATGAGCTTGTACTCTGTTGTGACTACACAAGTCTGAATGGTGCAAGTAAAACAGAAAACCAACATAGGGCAAGGAGAAACCTTTCATGTGTTTTGTAGTAAGAATTTTATCCTTGCCCTTTATGTTTAGGCAGCCCTCAGCCACCTCGTCATGTACTTTCCTGTGACAGGTTAAATTGCAGACCTCTTATATAATGACCTCATTTGTTATGACCTCGTTTATCATGACTTCGTTTATATCGTTTATCACTAGGGAGTTAATCAGCCATAGAATGGGTGGTGTTTGAACCACCACCCATGAGTTCCAACCCCACTCATTTTGTGTTTTCTTTGCAATCATGTTATTACGATTTTGTGAGTTATGTTAGGGTGTTAATGTTAATCTGAGAGAAGATAGCCATTAGTGATATTTTTAATCCCTTATAAATACTGCTTGGGTTTACTATAGTTGCATAGGTTAGCTTTGCCATGTATAGAAGGGAGTGGAGGACATAACAGGAAGTGTATTTTGTTTCAATAATTATGCTCATCACTGTGAATTATTTTCATATATTCAGTATTATTTTGTGTGTTGTATAAAAA